CCTATATAATCAGAAGTACTTTAATTCCAGTATTGCAATGTGTAATTTTATTTATAAGATTCATGGTCATATGGTAGCAGTTCCTGAACAGTGAACCATACTTCCTGTTAATTACCCTGATACATTGTCTTATTGTAATGTAATTTATTTGGAAATACAAAGCATACATTTTAAAACACAGCCCAACAACAATCACGTACTTTGGTACAAAACCAGCCGAGGTCGATGGATTTTTGAGGATAATAAAAATTTGTAGCACAACTTAACTTTGGTACAAAACCAGCCGAGGTCAATGGATTTTTAAGGATAATAAAAATTTGTAGCACAACTTCCTTCGGAGGGGAAGTAAAGATGACAGTTCCATGTCGTAGATTTATGGCATGTAAAAGAACCTTACGAGCATGAAATGCGATGTTTCATAAGCAAAATTCAGCGGCCATTTCTCACCCAAGTCTCTCCTGATTCACTACTAGATGGCTCTAGCAGTCAAATCATAATTGAGTAGAAATTGTGCAGAGGCAGTGGGCTGGTCACTCACTACTCACAAATGTATGCTTCAAAGACTAGGAAAACCTCTGAAAAAGGAGGTAGCGAAGACCCACAATTGGGTTGTAGAGCCAAGAAAGAAGAAGAAGATTAAAATTTACTTATTTCAGTCCTTATTTTTTAATACTTTCCTGCTTAACTGAATGATATTCTTAGTGATGAAATGTCAGTTTAATTATTCTTTATTAGTTGGACATGCCATCCCTGTGCTTATATAATGCTTAATTTGCTCTTACAGGGTGAAGTTGTCTATGTGCTCAAGAGAATAAACCTTGGAGCAGAAGAAATCTGCAGTTTTGTAATAGGAGATGCATGTGGCGATGTATATAACCCTTATCATGAGTGGAAAGTTGTCTTCCCTCCTGTGCCAAAACCTGTAGTTACTCCACAAGTAGCTCCTATGGTAAGAATATGCATTACAAAGTTAGTAATTAGGTGAGAAAGGACTAACCATCATAAGTTTCTCACACATCAAACAGGAATAAATAGTAAGTATAATGTTGTTGACTTTAAGTAACAAATACTTAAAAATTTTCTTTTGGACTTCGTCCATCATGAAAATAATAAAACTACTATGTTTTGGAAGCTGAATTATTCTTCTGTCTTCAGGGCCCCCCTGGTAGAGCTAGCCTCAGACCTGGATTAGGTTCAGGTGTCTTCCTCCCCTTTTCTCCATGAACACAGAAGCATGATCCAGATTCTGAAATACTGTAGTTTTATTACTTTATAGTTCAGACAATGGACAAAGTCCAGAAGACCAACTTTACATATTACAATACACCACTGTTAGAAACCTTCAGACTTTAAGTAGCAAACTTTGTCAGTAGAGTGTGTGGTAATGCTAGACAATCAAGGTTCAATTCCTAGCAGAGGCAAAAACCGATATCTTCACATTCATGTCCAGTCTTCTTTTGTGCCTCACCTAGCTTCCTGTTCAATGGGTACTGGAATATCTCATCCCAGGAGTAAGGTAGCCAGAGCATAAAGCTAAATACTCACTTTCATCTAGTGCTGAGATTAAGAACATGGAATTGTACCTCCACAGATGTCACAAAACCAGCATCTTATGTATTGGTCTGGGTGGTGAGTGTCCAAGAACTGTTTAACATTGCTGCTAAAATGGGCAGGAGCTCCATCATGCATAAACCACATACTTGTAGTTTGTTGTGTTGCCAGTAGTACATCCTCCAGTAGCTGAGGTAATTCTTCATTAGAAAATGCAACTAGGAGGCCCCTGAGAGTCAAGACAGTGTTCATAAGGTCCTATGAGGAGATCACCAATTATTTATGCCTAAACATTAATTGTAAACTTATGCCTTATCATTGTGCAATGTTGCTGTACCTCTCTGACAAATCTGTTGAGACCATATGTTTGTAGGGACTTTTTGGATTAATTTCAGGAGTAGAGCAAGTTCTTAGATTTATTGTTTGTGATTAGTCATCCTGTGTTTACACCTGTAGGAATATTTTATGTTGCAGCATGGAGCACCAACATTTAAAGTGCTTCAGCTTTCCGACACACATTTTGACCCATACTATCAGGAAGGCACAAATGCAGACTGCAAGGAGCCACTCTGCTGCAGACTCACTAATGGACCTGCCCTTTCACCTCAAACAGCAGCCGGGCGATGGGGAGACTACCGCAAATGTGACACTCCCAGGCGAACTGTTGACCACATGCTACAGCATATATCTAGCACACACCCA